TCAAACCTGTTTGCCAGATAGCCAGATCTTGTAAACAAACCCTGTAGGCTAATGTGAACAGAGGACTCCATTTCCTCATTAGACTTTCTCCAATCCATACTGTATCCTAGTGTTACAATTGGGGATGCTTTTAACAATTATTAATAGTTTGTCTGGGTCTGTCATTACTGTGTTGTGCCTGTGTCAGATATGGGGGTGGGTATTTCATCCTGGTGGGCTGACTGAGAAGCAGAGCCTACCCATATAGGGGAAAAATGTGAAGGCTCTTTCTAAAAAAGTAGAGTAATTATCCAGAATAAAAGGGAGTTTTGTCCCTGAATAGGATGTCCACGCAGGGAGCTATTTTGGAATATCTTAAGAACATAAGAAAGGCAATACTAGGTCAGACCAATGGTCCATCTAGCCCAGTATTCTGTCTTCCCAACAGTGGCCCATGCCAGATGCTTCAGAGGGAATGAACAGAACAGGACAGTGATCCATCCCCTGTCACCCAGTTCCAGCTCTGGCAGTCAGAGGTTTAGGGGCACCCAAAGCATGGGGTTGCATCCCTGACCATCTTGGCTAATATCCTATCCTCTGTGAATCAGCTAATTCTTTTTTGGACCCAGTCACTCTCTTGGCCTTCACTACATCCCCTGGCAATGAGTTCCATAGGTTGACTGTGTGTTGTTTGAAGAAGTACTTCCTGTCTGTTTTAAACTTGCTCCCTATTAATTTCATTGTCTGACCCCTGGTTCTTGTGAAGGGATAAATAATACTTCCCTATTCACTTTCTCTGCAGCTCAAGGTTGCAGCTGCTGACTATGCTCTGTTTGTTCTGAGGGTTGCAGCCTCCAGTACTGTCAATATTATGCGTGCATAATTTTCTATTTTTAAAAAAAGCTATAATTGCTACTTCGTTAGGTTCAGTCCTCCAAAGAGTGGTATTTTGACCATTGTAGACCCAGCACTTTTGAATCCTCCTGCTCCTCTTTCAATGCATCCTCAGGTCTTCTTGAAGCAGTATCTGTTAAAGTGACAGGCCTGATTATGAAATGGAGCCTGTGTTGTAAACATAATATTAAAATATCGGACTGACCCCAGCAACTGTGCCAGTCGGAGTACATTGCTCTGAACCTTCCTTCAGGACACTCCTGACTGGCACTAGCCTGAGAGACAAAGGACAGTAACTTTTACTAAGTAGACAAAGGAAAGTAACTTTTACTAAACTCTCCTTTTATTTATAAATGCTTTTGTTTAGGGCAGAACTTGCTTTCTGGAGCAGTTTCTCCAAACCCTCTGAGCTCTGTCACTGGGCTTGACTTACCACAGGCAGTATGTTCTAGGGTCAGGTGTTCAGGAGTTAAAGAGCAACTGCTTCTTGTACCCTGGACTTTTCTTTAAACCCACAAACCTCCTCAAACCTCAAAGGTAACGCAGAGGATATCGGATTGCAGGGGGAGGGGTGAGTAATCTTTCCAGCTGGAGAGGATAAAGTTTGATCTCTTCCACACTGAAGGTTGGGAACAATGGGAGCTTTCTGTTGGAGCTGGATTTCAAAGGCCTGCTGAGGAATACTTTGTTGTAGATCACTGAGGATATTGGCAGATGCCCTTCGCTAGCTTTGTGTGCTGTTCTCACAGTTCCAGTGCCCAGTAGCCTGAAGCACCTTTAACAAAGCAGGAACACGGTGTGAGACAGAGGTGGGAAATGCGAGCGTTTCAGACAAGACAGGAGGGGTTTTGTAGAGTGAGGGTGAAGCTGTCTCTGGAAGAGGCTGCTAGAGCCCTGACCAACCTGCCTGGGCAGGGCAGTGCAGGGGCCGCCAGTGAGGTTATTTATGAAGTACGTGGGGTGTATTGTTGACACGTGGAGTCTCACTCCATGGAAATGCCTGCCCCAATGTACTGTTTGAAGCTAACTCACTGCTAGTGTGCCTGATCTCTGGGTGTGCTACAGGACAATCCCTCACCTCTCCTCTCTTTCCACAGATCGCCTTGGTTCACGGTTCTGTCTGCTCACTGGGGAAGACGTGTGAATGCGCACTACCCCCACGGCGGCTCCACTCTTCTGCTGGTCCGGGAGATCGCCTCCGGCAGGGCTCGCTTTGCTGCTGCTCTTTGTGGTCCCTACACCAGGCTGCAGCCATCCCCAGGGAGAGAAATACACACACACTGGGACAAGTTACAGCTGCCCGTCTCCCAGCTAGGTCTGGCCTTAGCCATTGCTGCTTTAAAACTCCGTTCCACTAGTATAGCCTAGTCGTTATGCGGTGGAATTTGGGGTTTACGTAGAAGAGTCATGTTTCATCTGCGTATATACCGCAGCATACGTATTAGCTCTGTAACCCAGATAATAACTGTTTGGATTGACCCTCTTCTACCCCCACATTGGGTGGGTTTTGGTTTTTTGTGGTTGTGGAATCCTAGTCAATTCTGCCTCTTTTAAGGGCTGGTTCATGTATTGTTCCTGATCTTTGATGTCTCTTTACTTTACATTAGGATGTAGCAGCAGCCCATTGCTCATGAAAATAGTGCTTTGTGTAACTGAATTGACATTTGGCCTTGATACCTGTATCTCCTGATAACTGAAACAAATTTCTAAAATAAATATTGTACTTTGATCTTCCAGTCCTGCATTTGTAATGACAGCTCTGAACATCACTTCATTAAGAATACATTTCAGGAGACCGAAATGCTCCGAGTTTGAACACTAATTATTTGTACAGAATATTACTGCTGCAACATTTCATTATTCTGCCCATTGTTTGTTCCGGAAACTAGAAATTCCCCCTCGATTTTTTAAGTCAATTGCTTCCATCCATGCAGAGTTTATGGCATCCGAGGTATGGATTCCGTATAGGAACTTAATCCAACTTTCTACTAACTGTTTTGCAATGTAACAAATCATTCTGGATATTCAAAATACGTGGAGGAATAATTTATGTGAACGGGAAAGGGAAACACCGGCGCGTTCAATTGCTTTAAAAGTTGTACCTTTGACTTCCATTTCGTTTCTGAATTTTATTATTCAAATTACTCCTAAATCAAAGATACAAATCATGCGTGAAAAAGATCTCGATAAAAATCAAATCAAACTTTTTGTAAAAGTTTAGGGACGGTGAAAGTGACATAGCCTGACGTGGGTGGTTCGCTTAGTACATCCCCAGGAAAGGTACATGTCATCAGAATGGGCAGGAATGAGGATCCTATCCATTGTGTGCTGTGTCACGGCAACTCGAATCTCTTGTTCTGCCCTGGAACTTCTGGAATAAAATGGGATGCGCGTGCGTTTCTGTCCCTTGCCTAAACAAAACGGGAAGTAGGCTTACCCTGGGTGCGACCAAGGAGCCCCGGGCACTGACATGTAAATGTGTATGTGTTCAAGTCACCCGGGAAAAGCCTTCTCTGAAATATCCCGGAGCCCCCAAAGCACCAGCGGGACTGCTGGGGAGATTTCTAAGTGGCCCAGAGTGAGCGCCTTGCCCCTGATCTCCAGCGATTCGATGTCTCTATTGTTGGAGCGCTGGAGCTGCTGCATTCACTCGTATGTTTTCAATCAGATGTAAACATTTCGCAACTCTCTGGGAGGAGAGATCACACGCAAGGCACGGCCAGCATTTGGTTTTAAGTTTGCTTTGGAACTCATGTGTCCCACTTTACGGCGCTCTTCGATTGTTTGTCACAGCTGTTACCATCCTAACCATGGGTGCTGGAGACCAGTAATTACCAGCTCCTCCTTGCCCTCTGCTATCAAGTGAGGACAACAAGAAATGACCGCCCTAAAACCATACTCTACATTTCAAACATAAAAACAGACCCAGATGTCAGCTTCCCCGAATAATTCACCAAGTTGGACGCGTCTTTATCTCTAGGTTATACATGGCAGAGAAGTCTTGAACATCAGCAATGGGGCTGAATCGATTTAAAGGCTTGGGAGTGTTGTGCTAATTTCCATAGTATCGATCTGATGAAGCATTTACAAGTCACAGGGAAGAGCCTCAAGTGACTCATGCCTTAGGGGGTCAGTGTTACGGAGGGGGGGAGCAGCGGGAGCCCATACTTCTCCCCAGGACTCAATATGGAGCCGTGGGAGAGGACTTGGCACTTTAATCCCTTCAAAGAAACCGATCTAATTCAAGCCCTACCACGCTTGGAAGTCGTTGAGAGGCCAGTGATTGTTTCTACAGGAAAGCCAGATAAAGATCTCTGTGTGCTGCCGTTTAAAAAGGCTTCCTTGGCAACGTGAATACAATTGAACCCGACGGCTACTGGGAGGATCGAGTTACCTGGAGAAACAGTTACAGAAATGTGAGCGAAAGGAGGGGCAGGGCACTATCTGCTCTAAAGTTTGGCCAAGATATTCATGAATGTCTTTGTCTGTCACGTGTCCGGATCGGCCGCTGTGTATCCCGGGGATGAGATCGCATCAGCCGGGCTACTTCTGCCGGCGGCGAAGGGATTGCACCGTAGTGCCAAAGCACGGGGCAGAGCCGGAGGAGAAGGAGCGCGAGCGTGACTCTCGCATACACCGAACGGAGAGCGCGCGGCGCTCGGCTTCACCTCGCGCTCTCCCTGCAGCAAGCGCGCAGCTGGGAGAGGCGGTGGGGTGCCGCTGAGATCCGAACGCCGGGCCGGGAGAGGCTCAGAAACCACTGGCGTGTTTGCTACGGAAAGTTTTCTCGTCCACGTGGGCCAAAGCCAGTTCGATTTTAAAACACAGACGGAGCCCCAGAGCTGGGAGGAACAGATTCAGTGACGCTGCGGCCAACTGCAGGAGGTCAACAAGCGGCTTAAGCGGAGATCTGAGTAATAGTTTCCAGTTTCCCAGTGTTGCCACCCGTACTATAGTTCCAACAGTTTAACGGAGCCAGCCAGACTGGGAGGCATTTTACACACAAACACACACAAAGCGCTACCAAGAGAGACGCTCACCTTCACGTTTAAAAAAGTCACGTCTTTTACACACCTTAATATCACCCTCCTACCCCCAGGAAAATGACACTTTCTCTGTTATTTTCGCAGGCTTTAAGTTTTAATACCGATTGCACGTGACGAAAGAACCTATTTTAACTCTACTACATCGACCTCTGGCTTGAGCCCAGCGCCACAGTAATTACAGAAAACACAGGGAGCACAGATTGGTGCTGGTTTCAGGAAGAGCAGAGCGAAAAAAGTGTGCGTTTATGGAGTTCGCTTTTCTCAGCTTCAGGAGAGAGAGAAAAAAACTGTAGGGAAGTTTTCCAGCTGCGATCTACCAACCCCGCTCAGGTGAACTTGCTGTGTTTGTATTGTTACTTTGAGTCATCAAACTCTAACAGCGGAATCCGCAGGCAGATTTCTCTGGGGATAACAAAGACACATTGTCACTTTAGGGCTCTGCTACAAATCCTTAATTGCAAAAAAAAAAACAGCAAGGGTGGGGGGATCCAGTGTCTTGAGCATCCAATGCGTGGGTCTCCCCAGGCGGTAAGGGGCCCTTTGATCAAGAAAATCCAATTATTTGTGTATATACATTTCCCACATAGTGATTACTTCATTAATTGTCCCGCCTTTATCTCCTCCCTTCCCATCCCCCCTAATAATCAGTTCTTTTATCCAGACCAACAAACACACCATAGGAGCTTTGTGGATTCAAAGGATTTGCTTTCGCTTCTGAAAGAGCCGCTATTCTTTGATGATTGGGTAGCGGCAAACTTCAAAGCCATAAATCTTCCCTCTGACTGGCTGGCGGCCCGGCAAAGTCCTTATCAAATTCTTGGAGGTGATCCTGGTGCAGTCAGACAGTCCGCGCAGATCTCGCAGCGCGGGGGGGGTGGGCCGGACGCAGAGCAAAGAGATCAGAGGGAAGGAGAGAGAAGGAAGCTGGGCAGCTCCTCGTCTTCCCCTTGGCGTCTCCATGCCTCGGCACTGCTCCGGTGTCCTCCCCTCGCTCCGGGAGCAGTAACCATGGCCGCAGTGGCCGTCCTCCGGAACGACTCCCTGCAGGCTTTCCTCCAGGTCAGTACCGGCGCCTCCCAGAGAGAGCCCAGCTGGGGGTGGGGGGGGGGGGGAGGAGGGGGAGGCGGAGGATCGCCGTGTGTCTCACACTGACAAAGACGAACATAAGTTTGAAGTTAGGGGGGAGACAGCGCTCCAAGTAACGTTAAAGCAGGGAGCAGCCAGGCTACTTTGATCTGGGGATCGCGAAGGCAGTGTCAGCCCCTACCCGTAAGAGGCTTGCTCCAGTTGAAAGGACAGGTCTCAAGTAAGCTAAAGAAATCTCTTCGGATTAATAACTCCCCGCTCCGTTTAGAGTCCGGCTGGCCACTAGATGAAGAAGATCTTGGGGGCTCAAACCATTCGCTTGCAACGGGCGCTGTAAACAATCACCCCCGGGCTACGGAGCAGTGTCGGGGGGTTGAGTGGTGGACATTCACTTTTGTATGCGGGACCTAGAGTTACTTGGAAGATCACACAGCACAGAGCGGGCGTGTGTTTAGAGAGCGGGAGAGACGCTTGTTGTGGCCTGCCTTGCTGCTGACTCAGGCTTCTTTTTACAGACAGCTCAGTATTGTTTGGGGAAAGTTTCTGCCCATGTGATGAGCGATCAGAGCTCTCCGGTTCCCTGGAGAACACACAGAAACTTTCCTGTTCCTTGAGCTTCAGCGTCAGCGGTGGGTGGAAAGGGGAGATGATCGCGGGGTAGGCAGCGACAGCAAATGCTCTGGGAGCGGTTTGTGACCTGGTCTTTCTCCTCCCTCCCCCACATGCAGGATCGCACCCCCAGCGCCTCTCCAGACTTGGCGAAGCACTCGCCCCTGGCGCTCTTGGCCGCCACCTGTAGCCGGATCGGACAGCCGGGCACCGCCCCTTCGGATTTCCTGCAGGTCTCCTACGACCCAGCTCTGGGATCCCCATCCAGGATCTTCCACCCGTGGAGTAGCGAGATGCCAGCCCATTCCCCCGGGGGGCTCCCCCCTCCGCATCCCAGCCTGGGGCTCACCCCCCAGAAGAGCCACCTGCAGCCTTCCTTCGGGGGCGCTCACGAGCTGCCCCTCACCCCTCCGGCTGACCCTTCCTACCCCTATGAGTTCTCCCCAGTCAAGATGCTCCCTTCCTCCATGGCCGCCTTACCCTCCAGCTGCCCCCCGGCCTACGTCCCCTACGCCGCCCAGGCCGCCCTGCCTCCCGGCTACTCCAACTTGCTGCCCCCGCCGCAGCCCTGCAGGCAGCTCTCCCCCAACCCGGCCCCCGAGGACATCCCCTGGTGGAGCCTCCAGCAGGCGGGGGCGCCTGGCGGCTGCAGCCACCGCTTCCCTGCCGCCGCCCTGCCGAGGAGCCTGGTGCTGGGCCCCTCGGACCTGGCCCAGTACCAGACGCAGATCGCCGCCCTGCTGCAGACCAAGTCACCCCTGGCGGCCACGGCCCGGCGCTGCCGCCGCTGCCGCTGCCCCAACTGCCAGGCGGCGGCGGGAAGCGCCCCGGAGGCGGAGCCGGGCCGGAAGAAGCAGCACATCTGCCACATCCCGGGCTGCGGCAAGGTCTACGGCAAGACCTCGCACCTGAAGGCGCATCTGCGCTGGCACACGGGCGAGCGGCCCTTCGTCTGCAACTGGCTCTTCTGCGGCAAGAGCTTCACGCGCTCGGACGAGCTGCAGCGGCACCTGCGGACTCACACGGGCGAGAAGCGCTTCGCCTGCCCCGAGTGCGGCAAGCGCTTCATGCGCAGCGACCACCTGGCCAAGCACGTGAAGACCCACCAGAACAAGAAGCTCAAAGCCGCGGGCGACGGCGTGAAGCGGGAGGACACGCGGGGCCTGTGACCCGGGCCCGCCGCTCGGCCGGAGAGATTGGGGACCTACCGCCCTGCCTGAGGGGCCCCCGCTCCCGGAGCCCTGTCCCGGGAGACTGGAGGACCTGCGATGCGGGCCGCGCAGCCCTGGGAGGGGCGGGAGCCGCGCCTGCATCCTTGGCCCTGGAGCCCTGTTCGGGGAGAGCTCTGGGTTTGCTGTCTTCTCCCAGGAGGTGCTCTAGCCCTGTGAGGGCGACCGAGGACCTGCTCCCGGCCCGGGATGGCCTAAGGTCTGCACCCCGGTGCGGCTCTGGGAACTGGAGCCCTGCCCTGGAGGCTTACAGGGTCCCCCGGCGGCACTGCCCTATATACGTCCCATTGTCCTGAAGAAGCCCTTGGACAAGTCCCCTTCTCTGGCTCCAGGGCAAAGATGTGGGAAATACGTGACTACTTTACGCCTTGCTACGGGCATCAGGATCTTTCTGGCTGCTGCTCAGTGGGAGTGAAGTGCCAGCTGTTTCCAGCTCGCAGTCCCGCTCCCTTCCAGGGGGAGCTCTGGACGCAGGCTGGGCCACAGGGTCACTCCCCCACTTTGGAAACGGGGTTACTTACAATGGTCTGCTCTAAGACAGTAAATAGGAGCAGCAGCGTTAGTCTGGGGACCTGGCTCTTGGGTCCTCATTTCTTTCAGGGGAAGAGACTGAACTTTTGTGTACAGGTTATTTAATAGCTTTGTTTGAATAAAAGTGTTTTTCTTGTCCTTGGCTCCACGCGGGGGCTCCAGCATGAGATGTTTCTGTAAAGCGACCTGCAACTGCAGCGTGAAAATAAATACATTAACACTGGGGTCACATTGGGAAGATCCCACTGAGTCGGTTTCATTTGATCTTTTCTTCCTTCTGAAGGCTTTACAAAACGCCGCAGTTTGAAAAACTATTTTATCGTTTATTTAGTCTGAACAAATGCATCGGCCACATTTATTTGGTAAACACCCAACTGTTGCAATAGCTTAAGCCACAATCTGTTCCCCACATTTCATGCTCCCAGATATCTTTGCCAAAACAAGACAAAGTTTTCATAGTATTCCGTGGTATTCTACAGTAATAGAAGAAAGACTAACTTCCGCTGAGTGCACTTTACCTATAATACGGATGTTAGTCCAAAGTTTAGCAATTTTTAACATTAAACTTTAACAACAGAGTATGAATTCACATTGATTTAGGAATACCAATTGAGAACTTTGTAAATGATCTAAAACATGGGGTCCTTTGGGCTGATGCTGCGTTCACTAGTTCTGGTAAAGCCAAGCCATAGGCATAAAGGGGGAACAAAAGATGAAAAAATAATTAAAACTTCACAGAGCCGATGGTACAAACTATATTCTGAATCCGAGTAAAGGTGGGAATAGTCACAGTTAATACACCCTTCTTATATGAAAAGAAATGCATGACAGCATGATATTGTGGTCAGCTTTAACTAGCCATTTCCTGCCTTTTGTTGGGCTATGTCACAGCACGATTAAAAATACTTTTGATATTTTAATTTTCTTTTTGTTTAACCATTGCACTATTTTGGGGGTAGGGTATATACAATGCTCCCTCTTCTATCCAAGAGGCCAAAATGACTGTCAAGTAACTTGAGTAAGTCAAGATCTAGGGATTTTTTTACACACAGTTATACATTTGAAAACTGGTATTTACCAATAAACTAATACAGCTCCAGTTGAGGCATTATCAGTCATGTATGTATGTATTTAGGCACTGTATACTGTTGCCAAATGTCTTTTAAAAGTACCATAGTTACTGTATTTTACATTAGGCAGTTTGCTAATAAAAAAATTAAAGTCATTATAAAAAAAATCAAACCCATCAGGATCTTTGACTAATCACTTGCTAAATTTCACTTTTAAAAATAGGGACTAATATATTAACAATTCTCTACTGGATATAAACATAAACCTCCATTAATTATCAATAAAATAGTTAAAGGTTCTTTAACAAATTGGTCAAAATTTGTTTTTAGGTTGAATATTACATGTCAAATTTCAGGCTCAAATAGACCTGCGAAGTGGGTATTGTAATAGAAGTTCTGGGACAACCTTAATTATAAATACAGATATTGGTTGCCAGACAGCTTTTAATCAAGTGTTGGAGTTAGCAATTGTAAAAATATTTATAATGTTTAATGATAGTAAATGTAAAATTGATGGTGTTATATATTTGTTAAGATTTGATCTCTCTATGAAAAGAGTTCAAAAGTACTCCAGAGAACCTTAACATCTGAAACACTTAGGAGTTCCTGTCTAGTTTGTAATTCTCTGAAACTGCATATTACATCTATAGGAGAATATATTCATTTGTATGATCCTAAACTAATTTCTGCAGCAATAATTTCAGGGTTAAAGTATTAAATTAACGAGATATAATGAGCTATTGGCTATTAAAGATTCTTGCATATCTACTCTATAATATCTTATATGACAGAAATAGTTTAGTTTTAATGAATGAATGAAATTCTGTCGCTAAATATACATTTAGATATAACTGTAGGCTGCTGATACTACTTAATGACATTATTTATATTGTAAAGAAGAAAGCAACAATAACAGGGAAAATGATAGGCATACAGAGGGTCCAGATCCAGAGGTCCTCACTCAGGTTACACTTTCACCGAGACAAGATCAGGCCCTGAATATGTTATCTATGTAATGATTTTCAATTTTAAAAGATTTTCTGGTATGAAATGGCTTCTTCTCATCCTTCCTTTCTTTGGAATTAAGTCATATTAAGTGGTTAGTACAATTAACTCAACCAGACATAGAAAGCCTCAAATTTAGCACTGGTTTAAATAGGAATTTGTTTCACAAAACAGGGAAATGACCAATTTTTTAAAAATCATTCAATTCCATGTACAATTCAATTCTATTTGCAAAGGAAAC